TGCACATGAGTCGCTCTTACTGTGTAGACAGAATCCACATCAGCAGACCGTAGGCCTTAGGCTTGTGAATATTATACAAGAAGCGGGCTTCCTAGGTCTCATCCTCGACCGGCTGCAGCCGTCCTTGCTATTCTCAGAAAGCATTGCCTTTTACGTTCGCTCCGGGTCACATGTCCGTTGCTGGTGAGCACAGTTGGAACTGAGAAGTGGTTGCATAAATCTTGCCGGTTGTAACGTGGTGAAAGGTGCCGGTCTCTGCTCCCCCGTCGTGGTTTTAGAACATTCTATTCCCACTGCTTCTGCCATGACTCATGGCTACACTGGTGAGAGACAGAAATAGAGGTTTCCACCTAGAACCTTACTTCTGGCCTTCCGTTCTTATTACTCTCTAATCCCCATTTTTTATTTCTGCTGTCTAGAAAATTCACTTCAGAAATGATGTTTATAATAGAAGATCTCAGTAGTCAGGACATCCCCCCCACCCCATCTCCCGTGGCAATTGCTTGTCCTCAAATTAATCATTAGCTTGTTCTTTTGTTTTCAATTTGACCTTCTGTTAGCCTGCTTGCAGTGAGCATTGTGATAGAGACTCCATCTCTAACGCTGGAAACGGCAGAATTCAGTTGTGTGATGGTAACCGGACCTGCTGAAATTTGGCAGAGGTGACCTCAGTGCTCATGGCTGTGCTCTGTGTTCCAGCTTCAGGGCCAGTTGGGGCACCAGCAACTCCACCCTTTATACTAACAAAGACTTTGCTAGCTTGCACCCTTTTCCACAGTTCCATGAGTTGGAAGATTTTTTTATTTTGGGAAGATTTAAACACACACACACACACACACACACACACACACACACACACACACCTCAAAGGGCCTGACCAGTGTGGCTCAGTGGTTGAGTGTCGACCTATGAACCAGGAGGTCACAGTTGGACTCCCTGTCGGGGCACAGGCCCAGGTTGCAGGCTCAATCCCCAGTGGGGAATGTGCAAGAGGCAGCCAACCAATGATTCTCATCATTGATGTTTCTGTCTCTCGCTCCCTCTCCCTACCTCTCTGGGGGAGATATATATATATATATATATATATATATATATATATATATATATATATATATATATATATATATATTTTCAAAGGAACTGTACTTATTGATATTTTCTTTTTTCCATTTTTATTAATCAAGAGTCTATAGCTAGGTATGAAATCAAAGCATGTGTTTCAAATAGTGTCAACATTAAGTTTGATTTTTCAGGTGGCTGATGGGTGTTTGTTAACCTGTGTACCTTTACTATGAGTAGGGAATTCTTTGAACGTTTTAAAAAATGAGAATAATGTTTCATGCTCTTTCTCTCACCTCCTCACCCCAACCCCCCAGTGACAGTCTCGGGTGATCCCTGTGCTCCCAGGATCTCAGGCTGGGGCTGTGATCTGTACCTTGAGAGTTTGTAGTTTTATTGGTAAACTTTTTAAAATGAAAAAAGACCATTTAAAATATCCACTGACATGAGTTTTTATTAAGAAAAGTACTGCCTCCCTCCCCATTTGTGGGGGAATGTAATAGAGAATCTGTCCTGGGGATCCACGCTCCTGACTCCCCCCTTCCTTTAACCTGTGTCCCTGAGGCCCCCTGTTCCTCTCGCCTGTCTCTCTGGCTTTGTGCCTTTTGAGCTTACCTACTTCCTGTTTCTGTTACCTGCTGTCTGTCTGTTTCTCACAGGAATTGGATGTATACCGTATATGGGATGTATATACGTCACCCTGCTGTCTGTTTCTCACGGGAATTGGAGCCCCGTCAGGGCAAGGGTACCCCCATGTCCGCTGTGCTGGACCAGGACCTGCCCCGGTCGAACGGGAGCGGGGCAGCAGCAACCCCCTCTGCCTCCGGGCCCTCCCTACCCTTCCTGTGCTCGGGGCTCTGGCTGAGTCCATCGCGGTCCTTTTCAGGCCCTCTGCCGCTCTAAGAGGAAGTACATCACTGTTACTGTTCATGTCAGAGACAGGTTACAGGCATACCACTTAGCCTTTGTTCAGCGATACTTATCTCTGACCTTTGGCCCCTAGGGTGAAAAAAATAAAATGATTCAAAGAGCTAAACATAGAGTACAAAGAGAAATAAAAAGTCTGGAAGATAAGTAAATGGAATAAATGGCCCCTGAATACTCATGTTGACGGTGAGAGGGTCATTTGCCCTTTTTTGTTTTTTTAATTTTTTAAAATTGATTTCAGAGGGGTAAGGGAAGAGAGAGAGAGGAGGGGGAGGGGGGGAGAGAATCATTGATCAGCTGCCTCCTACATGCCCCCTACTGAGAGAGAGAGAGAGAGAGAGAGAGAGAGAGAGAGAGAGAGAGAGAGAGTGTGTGTGTGTGTGTGTGTGTGTGAGTGGGGGGGAGAGAAGTGATGAGAGAATCATTGATCAGCTGCCTCCTACACACCCCCTACTGGGGATCAGGCCCAAAACCCCCACATGTGCCCTTGACCAGAATGGAACCTAAGACTCTTCAGTCTGCAGGCCGACATTCTATCCACTGAGCCAACCCAGCCAGGGCTGGGCCCTTTGCCTTCTAAAACTGCCCTCTTGGTGACGCTGTGTTCCCCAGAGGCGCTGCTCCGGACCCTGACGTCACCCTGCACGGCACTGTATTCCCAAGTTTCCCAGTCGTCAGCATTTCCATGTTCAGAAATGGTTTGAAACCTAACTGGAGACAGTGTATATATTTATGTTGGTTTTATTTTGTAACTCCTGGTCATGCGTCACTTCCTAATCAGCAGTGCTCGTTTGCTTGGGCAGATGGTCTTGAAGAGAACATTGCCAAATAATTGAATGTGCTTGTTGCTGCTGAGGTTAATATTTAACAGAAAAGAAAGTGGTGTTTAACCAGATGAGGATTTGGGCATCATTAGTCGATATTTATATTACTCATTATAGTTTTAAAACATCAGTTTTGTGTAATTGTCACTGTCAGATAGCATCTCCAGTTTAGCACAGAGAAAAAATAAAAACCAAACTACTTTATCCACAGGGAAAGTAGGAGGTGGTAGAAGAAATAATGAACCAAATTCATTTTATAAAAAATGCGTTTGTAGGATGTCTTCGGAACGATACAATTTATCATATCTTAAATATAATACATATTCATGGTTAGGTTTGGGCATAGTAGCAAGTAGTGTTAGACATTGTCGGTATTAACAACAGAAGAACATTTTTGTTTTAATCCTAATTTTTATGTTTATGCACATTTTTTCAGGTGAGCCATTTTAAACCCTCCTTCTTTGGGGAGGAGACAGTCAAGTGTATATTATGTACAAAAACTTGCTGGAAAATCCCCCTGTGTGATGAGCATTAGAGAAAAGGGGGGTTTACGTGATAGTTGATATTGATATCATGTAAAATGAAAGGCATATTGATTAAAGGGAGAATAATTGCAATTGCCACTTGTTCACGGTGATGGCTTGAGAGTTGGGGCAAGGTGACCAAAAAACAGCAGGTTCAGTTCTACAAAGAAGGTTTAAGTTAAACATCAACCAATATAAATTTCCATTAAAAATCTTTGAAAGGTACTAATAGGGTAATCAGTTCTTCTCACTAGCCACATTACTCGGAATGTTTGACTTTGAAGGGGGATGGCCCTCTGGAGTCCAAGGTCAAGGTAAATGATGCAGGTCAGTGGAATGGTGGCTGAGCCAGCGATCTGTTTTGGGGCAGGGACCCATAACTCATGGATCCAACACGCAACGCCACGGGTTCGGACTGGAAGAGCCTTAGGTTCCTTTCATTCTCGTTGGTATAAATGTTTTAGTTTTAGTGGAGTTTTCTGTCTGCTTCACTAATTTCCATTGGAGCATCCTTAGGAAAACTTAATGTACATACTAAGAATCACGGTGTGTGTGTAGCTTTTGTGTTTGTGCCTTTGTTTAGTTTGGACCAAGGAAAACATGTTTTATTAACAAGGTTTAACTCTCTTGGAGCAGTCGAGTATTCACAGGCCAGATGGCGTGCTCCATTCTCCAAGCCTTTGGTGGTCCGGAAAGCTTCTTGAATTTCTCTCTTACGTGAATGTTGATATAATCTGCCTATATTTTATTTTTTGGAATGAATTAATTCATATGATACCCTTTCTAAATGGATTTTTTTCCGTCTGAAGAAGATATTTTTCCACCCGATTGACAGCTTGGTTTTTTATTCACATAAGAAATAAGGGATTGCTTTTAATCATAGGGGTTAGTCTATTGCTAGAGCAAAAGGGTCTTGGGATGTGACTAGTCCGGCCTTGCAGAGTGCAGGGCGCCTTATGCAGCGATTGGACAGGTGGCTGCCCAGCCTCTGCTGGAGCATTTGCGGTGACAGGACGCTCGCTACCTTTCCCAGTGTTTCCACAGCTGTATTACAGAGGTCCTGCTGTTAAACCAGAGTGTGCTTCTGGTGACTTAAACCTTCATCCTCTCATTGACAGCCAGGAACATTCCCTCACTGACAGCCAGGAACGTTTCTCTCCTCTTCAAGCTGTAATTTCCTTATCTATAAAAGATCATGAGTTGTAAGATCTGGTTATCTCACCAGAATCGAGGTGAAGAACAGCCGAGATAAACAGACCTTAGGCAAAATCCTTTCCAAGTCTCAGACTATTACCCTCTTAGCTTTTCCTCTGGTGGGTAATGTGATGGGACCACAGCCGTGCCTGCCCATCGGTTTGTGAACCTTGAAAGGCATTTTCCAGTTGACCCTCTTGCCGTTCACGAAATAATTAATTCATATCTTTAGTCAACATTTATTGACCATTCACTGTGTGCCTGGCACTCGCTTGGGCCTTAAGTGAACTAAACAGTGAACAAGACAGATACCACCTCTATCTCACTGGGGCTTCATCTGTCTCCCTAGTCTTTTTACTTTGAGATATAAGTGCTTTTGACTGTTCAAAATAAAATAATATTGTTTCCTTTAACCAAGTGCTTTTGCTTTTCTGACTAGTACAATACTTAGCAGTATGTCTTTGATTTGTAGATATATGGAGTCTGGGAGTGATCCTTTTCATGTTGGTGTGCGGGCAGCCACCCTTTCAAGAGGCCAATGACAGTGAAACATTGACAATGATCATGGATTGTAAATACACGGTCCCATCCCATGTGTCTAAAGAGTGTAAAGAGTAAGTAAAAAAAAAAAAAAAAAAAAAAAAAAAAAGTGTTTATTTTAATTTTTGAACTTAATATTTCTGATCTTGAAAAGGGTGTTTTGGGGAGGTAACCCCAGAATATGATTTGAAATTTGATATTGGGTACAGAGTGTATTACTGTGTTGCTTCAATACGCCAGTTTTAAGAGGCTCATTATGTGCTTCTTCAGGCTCCAGAAGAGGGGATTACTTTCACTTGAAAGGAGACATTAACACGAGAACCACTCTTTCGCTGTTTGCATCAGCAACGAGCACGGCCACCCGGGATTATTTTAAGTTCCAGAGAAGAGTTAGGGCATTTCTGAAATAGACGATCAACACACCATTTGGGGATTTCTATAGTGTGTCTCATAATTTTATTCCCACCCACTAACTAACCGGAGACAGTGTATAGATGTCTCCATGACAGACTCGGGGATCCCTGTGCTCCTAGGATCTAAAGAGCTCTGTTTGGTTCATGCGACTATGGGAAGCCACAAAAATACACTCAAGTTGATTGTTTTGGATTTAAAGTACTACACAGTACTCGGATACGTGTAGTAAGGGATATAGTGGAATAAAGGAACTGTTGGAAGTTCCAGATTTCATTGACCTTGTGGGTTATACTTTGAAATAAGCTTGGCTGAGAGTATACCTACTACCGTGTTTCCCCAAAAATAAGACATCCTCCGAAAATAAGACCTAGCGCATGGAAAGATAAGACATCCCCTGAAAATAAGACCTAGCGCAACTTTGGGAGAAAAAAATTAATATAAGACACTGTCTTATTTTCGGGGAAACAGGGTACTTAAATGATTTGGGTGTAGTAACGTAGTTTTGAGTTTCTCCCAATCAGCTGGTAACTATGTACGTTGCCAGATGGGTAGTAGACTTATGGGGGATCACTTTGTGATTATAGAAATGTCTAATCACTATGCTGTACCCCTGAAACTAATACAGTATCGAATGTCAACTGTAATGGGGGGAGGGAGGGAATAGAAGGAAATCTGAGTTGGTCTTCAGGTGGAGCTCCATCTTAGGCCATGTGGTGGATTGTTAAGAACGTAGGTGTTCAAACTCTCTGGATTCAAACACTGTCTTCTCGCTTTACCAATGATGTAAGAATAATAGAACCTACCTTTTAGGGTTATTGTTAATGTCTGTAAAAGCTCTTAGCTCGGCCCGCCGCACAGAGGAAGCACCTGATAAGAATGTTGATGATGGCGATGTTTATGCCCTATTATTCTTCTCTGCCCCAGGAAGCAGGATACTATATGTTGTGTGCATGTTAAATGTTTGCAATCCACAGCCTCTACGCAAAAACTTATTTTTATATTGAAATGCGTCATTCACAAGAATGTTTAAAACGTGTCTGTGATAAAATAAATACATCTGTACCTGTTATCCAGCTTAAGAAATAGAATGGATCTAATAAGTTAGAAAGAAACCTTCTGTTTCTCCCTCCAAGAGGAATTATCTCTAGTAATCATAGGGCCATTCAGTTTTCTACTTTCTCCTGTGTCAGTTTGGCAAAGTTGTGTTTTTCAAGGAACTCATCCTTTTTTTTTTTTTTTCTTAATGGAAAAGCAAGCAAGAATTTATTGATCATAGCAAAAATTTCATGGGGCCCCTTCGAGGTTAGGGAACATGAGCCTTGGGGGAAGGAGAGAGAGAAGGGAATGGCAAGGGCATGCTCCCTGGAGGGATAGTGCCGGGAACTTGTTCATTTTATCTAAATTTTCAGGTTTTTGTGCTCTCAAGTATTTATAATATCCTCTAATTATATCTCTGTTACACCTATAGATTAGTGGGGGCGTTGTCTTTTTTCATTCTCATATGGACACCCGTTGCCTTCTCTTATTTTTGTCTTGTGCAATTCTGCCTTCGGTTTATTATCTTATTAGACTTTTTCAAAGAACTACCTTTGTTTGAACAATGGACTTACTTCCCTTTCCAGCCTGATCACCCGGATGCTGCAGAGAGATCCCAAGAGAAGGGCCTCTTTAGAAGAGATCGAAAACCATCCTTGGCTGCAGGGTGTGGACCCTTCGCCAGCCACCAAGTATAACATCCCCCTGGTGTCCTACAAGAACCTCTCGGAGGAGGAGCACAACAGCATCATTCAGCGCATGGTGCTCGGGGACATAGCGGATCGAGACGCCATTGTCGAGTATGTTACCACTCACCTGTATGGGGCCGTGGGTTCAGACGCTTGGAACGGGCTCTCTCTGTACTTGCCAGGGCCTGTGGCCCTGTGTGATGGCTAGAGATCCAGCTGACAGGTCATGTCATTTATCTGTAGAGTTCCCTGCCCAGGTCCCGGCTCTTAGGTTTTGTTGTATTGTTTATTTTTGTACTAGTGACAAGGGGTGCACACTGCTTTGTATCCCAGTATATGCCTTGCCCATAGCAGTATCCTCTTCATTCTATGTCCCTCACTGGTTCCCACAGTGAGCAGGGAGAATGGGGCATCATCTCAAGTCCCCAAAGTCAGGGGTTGGCATGTGGGGGCCAGTCATGCATTTATGTGATTGGAGTGTGAGGGATACAGCCGTGCCCACCCATTGCATGTTTTGTCCACGGTGCATATGCTCCTGCAGCGTATCTGTGAGTCCACATGACCCTCAAAATCTGAAACACTTGCTCTCTGGTCCTTGAAGACCCTGCTGCCACCGCCTGGGACCCACAAGGCCCACAAGTTATTAACCGAGTCCCCAACACAACAGAAGGACTGCAGAGCCTAAGAGGCTTAGAAATCACCTAACTTTTTAAAATAACCTGAGCCGTTTAGAGTCAAGGATAATATAAAGATACAGCGCTTTGCTTTAGCGTTGATTCATTTCCGCAGAGGTCCTAGGACCTCTAAGGAAAGGTCAAATGTTATTTACCCCATTGAAACAGCCGGTGCGATGGGAAGAGTGGCCTGCCAAGCACACGCACTGTAGTAGTGTGTAGGAAATGATGGTTCGTTTTTGAAGAGATATGTTAGAAGGCTATTTTTGTCTCCCCGAATTGGCTTAATGTTCTTGGCTTAAATAAATAAATCACAGCACTATTTAATTCATGTAAATTCAGTTATAAACCCAAAGGGAGCGCTCATCAAGTGGTTCAGGAGGTTCCGTGTGCCCATCCACCTGTGAGCATGCGCCGGAGGGAAGCGGGGATCTGGACGCCCGAGCTGCCCTCCCAGGCGGTCCTGGTCTCACTGCGCCCACAGCGTGAGCAGCGTGAGCCCGTCCTCTGTGGGTGACCCTGCACCAGAGACTCGCGTGTGTTGTCTCTCGTGGGCTCTTGCTTTGGAGTCTGTCCTCAGCCCGCCCGTTAGGCTGTGGCCCAGGTGCACATGTGAAAAGTGATCCCATGCCGCTTCTGTCCTAGTGCTCATTGTGCATTTTCACTAACGACAGACAGCTCCTGACAAGCCTGGCTGGGTAGTTCTGGGCCTGGCGGGCCCATCGCCTGCCCCTGCTCTTGCCTGGAAGGCCAGCTGCAGGGGAGCAGGCAGGGTCACCGCGGAGGGCCTTGCACCCCCAGCAGCTCCCCAGCCCCGGTGGCTGCGCTCGGTTCTCAGAGCATCAGTTTTGAAATGGATGAATGAAAACATTGGCAAAGAAGACGCTAATGACAGGCTCTTGGTTACATTGAAACAATGCATTAATATATAAAATTCCAATAAATGCCAAGAGAGTGTAAGAGTAAAAACTCCCTGATTTTGTGATTGGTATCAGTGTCTCAGGGCACATGCGTAGCACCCCTTTCACACAGCTGGTGGCAGCAAGTGAGCCAGCTCAGCGACAACAAGGACTTTGACCCAGAGTCGAGTGTTGGATGACATGTACATTCTTGTAGCCTCATTTCCTTTTATGCACCTAAACCTGACATCTAGCCCACATGCCAGCAGCATTTGGGGTTTTTCTTACAGAATGTTTTTATGCAGGTTTTTTTTTTTTTTTAAATCTGCTGAGGTCTCTGTGCCCTCTCCCTGTTTCTCCAGAGCCCTGGAAACCAACAGGTACAACCACATCACGGCCACGTACTTCCTGCTCGCCGAAAGGATCCTGAGGGAGAAGCAAGAGAAAGAGATCCAAACCAGATCTGCCAGCCCCAGCAATATCAAGGCCCAGTTTAGGTGAGAAAAAAAACTTCACTGATTTTAGTAAGTTAACGTTTTGAAATAGTGAACCTTGTTTGTTTGTTTGTTTGCTTACTGCTTCCTAACCCCGGGCAAGAGCGTGAACGGCAGTGGCGGGCTCTCCACAGCGTGGGGGCCGGAGCCTCCGTCACCGAGGATACCCCGGGCTCCTGGGCCAGGAACTTGTTTGGAGACTCGGTCTCAAGCCAGGGTGCCTGTAGTTTATTTTCATTAAACTCTTCTAGGTCTGACATGTATTAATAAGTTCTTTTCTTTATTCTTTTTATTCCAGGAACAAGGCCAGTTTTCCCTCAGTCCATTTGAAATAACTTTTTAAAATAAGAGGGCATTTCTGGGCCATGATGTTGTCTCGGGATTTTCAGGGATTGGACAGTCAGATGAGCCGGTTGATTTATTGGCCGATGACCTGGGAAGGTCACTTAACCTCTGACTCAGCTGCTGAGCTGGGTGTGAGGTGGGGGGGAGGCACACCGCCTGCCTCCGGGGGTGTGGCAAGGCCAGATGAGTCAGGGCCTGTGGTGCGTCCAGCCGGCTCCCTGTTCGCTGCCTTCGGTGGGCCTGTCACCACCCTGTCCCTTCTTCCCTCGTCCATCCTGAGCTCTCCATCCTCCTCCCAGGTTCCTTTTCTCCTGCCACGCTAGCTTTCTGTTTAAAATCGGAGCGTAGGAAGGGTTACTTTTTACATCATCATTAGGAAATTTATTAGAATTCATATTCAGATAAAGTAACCCATGGAACTGTAGCGATTCAAAAGCCTGGAGCGCAGAGGAGAGAGAAGAAAGCAGTCCTGGTCTGAGCTGGAAGCAGTGTAGGAACTCGGTGTCCCGCAGGCATCCTTCTGTAATGGAAACTAGGCTCGCTGTCTGTGTCGGCTTGGACGAGGCCTGGGCGCAAGGACAGAGCAGGAGAGTGACACGGAGAGGGCGGGTCAGCCTCGTCCTGCTGAGCCCTCCGGTGGAAAGCACAGCCTCCGAGTAGTCACCCCACGCTGGGCCACCAAGTCGGGAGCCACCCAGTTCTTCCGGAGAAGGGACATTTGGATTTGAGCTGCTGTCTGTTCAGTGAGACAGAACAGAGCTCGATCCAAAAGTGATCAAATAGTGACTGAGTTAAACTGGTTTTACTTCTGGAAATTGCAAAGCCAATGGCAGCTCTAAAGAAGCATCAGAGCCTCCCACAGTTTCCTGGCCCCTCCTGGGGATTCTGGAGTGGGGACGCCCTGCGGGCCTGCTTGCTTGCCTTCTCTTTACGGCACTGTGACTTTGGTGTCCAGACCCTGGGCCTGGCCTGGCTCTGTTGCTGAGGATGCGTAATGGTCAGCACGACCACTACAGCTGCAGCCCTCACCCATCCTGTTTCCGGGGTGGGAAGGGAGGAGAGGGGCGCCTTTATCAGGCTGCGCCCTCCCCATCCTTCTCGAAGGGACTGGCTGCTGCTCTGGCGAGTCAGAACCTCGGCCCCGCCAGGGGCTCCCCAGGGGCCGTGGGGTGAGTTCTGGTGGCTGAAAGCACAGCGTGTGCGGCTGCTCTGGGACCTCCAGTCTCACCGGGTGCCATGGAGTTGGGGGAGGACTTGTCCAGAGACACTGCTTGACCTCACAAACATGATCGGACACTCAGCTTCTATAAACTACCACGCAGTGACGTCAGCAGATGGCCCTCCACCCTCAAGGGAATGTGATCCGGCTCTGAGTTGGGGACAGGATGTTGGTTATAAATTCCTATGAGTTTTACAAAGCTATAGATTTAATTAGGTGTTATTTCTAGGATCACATAACTGGTGTGAAATGAAAATGTCATCGTGTGGAAGTGGCTGTTGTAAATGTGTCTGGCATCTGCTGGTCCCCTGGGCAGGGAGGACAGCTGAGAATTCCAAGACATTTATTCAAAACAAGCCAGAGACCTCATTTTCAAAAGTCTTTTTTTTTGGTTACCAAGCAGGGTTCTTGTTACTTGAGTGATTCCAGATTGGGGAATAAAATCAAAGTTTACGTCATAGTGGATTTTGCTATCCAGTACTCTTGCGTGAGCATTTAAAATAGAAGTATTTCTATTTTGCTAATTTCATTTCTTTATTGGTGAGGAGATTGATATATGCCAGCATTCACTGACTCTTTTCTCCACCATTCTCATGTTATATCTATTCAATTATTTCCGTTTATTTTTGTAAATACCAGACTTTTACAAAAAGGAGGATGGAAATTTCAGGTGAATCTTCCTAGCAATACTCCATCAAAGGCTGAGATCTAAGACGCAGAGGGACAGAGTGTGTGGTGTTCAGGTTTTGCTTTTACAAAATGCTTTTCTTGGGGCATAAACTGCTGTACAGAAGAGGCGCCCTTTGCAGACCTTTTCTGAGAGCTGGGACGAAGGTTTTGGCCAATGAGCACAGACTGAGCCGCATTCAGAACCCGCGGGCCCTCCGGGCATCCTTGCTGACGTTCACGGGGAGTTGCATGAGTCTGCATGGCTGCCATTCTTTTCTTTTCTTTTCAGTGTGCCGAGTTTGTCCCGGGAGTTGTGTATACTGTACTTGAACAAAGTCTGCATACGATGACATGCGTGTCCCTTTCCCGTCTGTCACACAGGCAGTCGTGGCCCACCAAGATCGACGTGCCCCAGGACCTGGAGGACGACCTCACCGCCACGCCTCTGTCCCACGCGACCGTCCCTCCGGCTCCCGCGCGGGCTGCCGACAGCGTCCTCAACGGCCACAGGAGCAAAGGCCTGTGCGACGCGGCCAAGAAGGACGACCTCCCCGAGCTGGCCGGCCCCGCGCTGTCCGCGGCGGCGCCGCCGGCGAGCCTGAAGCCCGCGGCCAGCGGGCGCAAGTGTCTGTTCCGGGTGGAGGAGGACGAAGAGGAGGACGAGGAGGACAAGAAGCCCATGTCCCTGTCCACACAGGTGGTCCTGCGCCGCAAGCCCTCGGTCACCAACCGGCTGACCTCGAGGAAGAGCGCCCCGGTGCTGAACCAGATCTTCGAGGAGGGGGAGTCGGACGACGAGTTCGACATGGACGAGAACCTGCCGCCCAAGCTGAGCCGGCTGAAGATGAACATCGCGTCCCCGGGGACGGTGCACAAGCGCTACCACCGCCGGAAAAGCCAGGGCCGCGGCTCCAGCTGCAGCAGCTCCGAGACCAGCGACGACGACTCGGAGAGCCGCCGGCGGCTCGACAAGGACAGCGGCTTCACCTACTCCTGGCACCGCCGGGACAGCAGCGAGGGGCCGCCGGGCAGCGAGGGCGACGGCGGCGGCCAGAGCAAGCCCGGCAACAGCGGCGGCGGGGCGGACGAGGCCAGCCCCAGCGAGAACAGCGCGGGCGGGGGCAGCCCGTCGGGCGGCTCGGGCGGCACCCCGGGGGGCACGTCGGGCAGCACCCGCCGCTGCGCCGGCCCCGCCAACTCCACGCAGCTGGCGTCGCGCGGCGCCGGGGAGCTGGTGCAGAGCCTCAAACTCATGGGCCTCTGCCTGGGCTCCCAGCTGCACGGGGGCACCAGGTACATTCTGGACCCGCAGCACGGCCTGTCCTTCTCCAGCGTCAGGGTCCAGGAGAAGTCCACGTGGAAGATGTGCATTGGCTCCGCGGGGAGCCCGGGCCAGGCGCCCGTGGCGGGCGGCCTCAAGTTCTTCTCCGACCACGTGGCGGACAGCGCCGCCGCTGAGCTAGAGCGGATCCAGAGCAAGAACCTGAAAAACAACGTGCTCCAGCTACCTCTGTGCGAAAAGACCATCTCTGTGAACATCCAGCGGAACCCCAAGGAGGGGCTGCTGTGCGCCTCCAGCCCGGCCACCTGCTGCCATGTCATCTGACCGCGGCCGCCCGGCCTCCCCGCACGCTTCCTGCTCCGAGCAGTGAAGGCCGAGGGCTCCTTCACCGGCTCCTTCCCGGTTCTACTCCTAGCGGGCGGTTATTTATTAACGTTCCCCTTCGTTCGCCTGGCGCCGTGACAATGCATGGTCTTTGTGCATGCTGCTGCTAGACACTGCTTTTCTGTCTGTCCCAGCCGAAAGTCAACCTCTCGTGTCACTTTTACATTCAGAATTTTAGTGTGGATGATCAGGATTAAATTAAAATGTATATTTGGAACCTAAGATCAATGGAGCACTTAGAAACTGGATGTTCCGCACTTAACCGTTTAGACAGAGAAAACACGCTTGTATTTCCTTGTTGCAAAAATCTAAATTCCCGTCCTGACCTTCTGTTACACGGAGACTCCGTGCCCTGGGCACACCCTGGTGTCCGATACAGAACCAAAGCAATAACGGTGAGATGCCGACAGGCCTGGAGCCCGCGGGCGTGCCTGCCAGCTTTCCGAGGCTGCGCCGGACCGAGTACAGCCGACGTCTGCACTAGAACCTTAAACCGAGATTTCAGCATAGCCACACCTGTTTGTCTTAAGCTATCGTGTGACAAAAGCTTGGGCTCTTAAAAATTAACTGAAACAGATTTTCTCGTTTTGTACTAGGTGAGATGAAGTACTTAGATTTATACGGCAGCTTCCCCTGTAGTGGTAAACGACAAGCAGACAATCTTATTTTGTAATGTGCGAACTGATGATGTCTTAACTCTACTTATAGAGTGTGTCTGTTTAACAGAACAAAATGACGCTCCTGTAAGCTCCTTCCCGCAGGGCACAGCCCAGGGTCTCCCTCAGAACCATGCAGATAGAAGAAGCTGTAGGGCCTAACGTGGAGGCAGAGTGCACACAGAGGTGGGCAAAGTCAAAACCCGGGCAATGAGAAAACATATATAAAGACATACATACACACACGGATTGATTCTTACGAGGTTGGTAATTAGGTTGACTCTCTTGTTATTTCCATTTTATATCCTTTAGCTCAATTAGCTATGACAATTGACTAATCAAAAAAATATACACAATCAGCGAACAAAACTGCACAAAACCTGCTTCAGTTTTGTTTGTTTTTTTGCTGGAAATATTTTTCACTCTGCCTTCCTGCCAAAACAGTAATCACGAACTCTCGCTTTAAACTATTCCCGCACAGAGACTCCTTCTGACCAGATAATCATCTTTTGAGGCACTGTGTCTGTGGGGCACCGTGTATTGCACGTTGCCGATTGCGGAAGGGGCCAGGGGCCCCTTTTCTCTGCTGTTCCCGAGGGGTCTTAGATGCTGAGCCACACTGGCCACAGGGTATGGCTGGGCCCGGGCCTCCCCTCGCTCATCAGCCTCCGGTGAGGTGTCTGGTCCACGCAGTGGCAGAGGCACCAGGGGACGGCCCTCCGCTGGGCACAGCTCCTCCAGGAACACATACACTGACCCTGCTACCTGAGTGTCCATCTCTTCTACTCAGAACTCTGAATTTCACTGTATACTTAACTAGACTTAAGTAAAGAGGATACTTCAAATACTTTTACTTTCTAGACCTAGGCTAGATGTGTTTTAAGCTATAGCTCTAGTTCAATGTGGTATTTATAATCGAAAGCTCTGAGACAAGGTGTGTGGGTGAAGCCATAGAACACATTTGCTTGAAATTCTTGAGCAGGGATCTTGTAAAGGGCCAGAAATAAGATGTGTGGTTCACGTAGACAGTGAGCGTAACATCTGTATTAAACATAGGAGAGAAGTTTATAAAGGGCATTGGCAATAAACTCTTTGTTGCAGCTGTTTTCCAAGTAATTGTAAATACTTTTTCCTTTGTGATTATGTATAGCCTGGGAATGGCACCTTTGAACCCATATGTGTTCGGTCTCCATTGTGTTTTTTTTATATTCAGATGTATATACGGTGCTCACTTTAGGATCAGCAGTGTTGACCATTTATGCTGCATAGCTGTATTATAGCCTTATTAGTCGTGTTTGGTTGGTTGGCCCTCTGGGTAGACAGATGGTAGTCTGAGTGGCGTCTTCCTCATGCGTTCCTAAGTGAATGACTGTGCATGTGTTGTATGTCATCGTATGTTGTCCCATAAAAGAGAGGAAGAGAATCACCATTACATTAAAATAATATTGGACCAAACTACTTACTTGCTCTAACGGTTTCTTGTATCCCCTTAACCTGTCTTCAGAAGTTGCATAGAGTTACAGTAGTGTGTAAATTAAATATTGTGGACAATTCAGTCTTGTATTTTTCTGTATGTGTGTGTACATATATACATATGTGTGTATATATATATATATAAATATATATATAAAATATGTACTTCTGACAATTCTATCTGTATTTAAAGATGTGACAATCTTGACACCGACTTTAAGAATAGCCGTGAGACTGAGTCGAATTAAAGGTATTTCTGCCACGTAAGAGCTGGTGTGTGTGTGTGAAGAGCATACGGAACGGTCAGCTGACCTGGCCAGCCGCGTGCACTGCGGGTTGATTTTCCTCATCGTGTGAACACAGACAGGCCTGTGACTAGTGGGAGAAAATCCCGACAATAAAGTGGCATCTTGGTGTTCAGCAATAGAACGGCGTCCCGTCCTGCTTCTTCCGTGTCCCGCCCCTCGAGTGGAGCATCTCCTGTGGCAGGTGCTCGGGAGCGGGGTGTGTGTGTGTGTGTGTGTGTGTGTGTGTGGGCGGAGCCAAGGCACCCTTCACGGCTCCACACCCCGAGGTCCTTGTCTTGACCAAGGAGACCTCCGGGACGATGCCGTCCCTCCCCCCCACCCCACCCCGGCCTCACGCTGGGGAAGGGGTGCTCTCCCCAGTTTGGTGGTTGCTGTGTGGCCTCGTGATCGACCACAAGATGTGGAGGAGGTTTGATGGCTGTTTCCCTTGAGCAGAAGTGATGGCCTCCCTTCCCCAGGGCTGTGAGCTTCCTCTGGGGAAGGGGACACAGTCCGCAGGGTCAGGCTCTGCCCCCGCTATTGCCATCTCCCGGTTACACCTGGGGGTGCTGAGGCCCAGGCAAGAGGGCAGAGCTGGGTGGGTCCCCCCCAGTATCCAATAGGCACAGGCCTGATCTTTCCACTGACTTTTCGAGAGTGGGAGGGAGGGAGGGAGGGGGACAGACAGAAACCTCCATGTGAATGAGCAGGGAGTTCACATCTGGAACCCAATGCCCCCACCCACGGTGCTCATGTGACCGGGGGAGAGACGGGGAGCTGGGTCCGAGGCACTCAGACTGGGATACGAGGAAGCTCCTGGCTGAGAACCATAGTGGCAGGGACCACGTGCTGGTTTAAATCGGGAGGATGTTCCTAAGCCTCAACCACTGAACTCGAACATGGGCCTTGATGCCTCAGACCAAGCAGAGGCAGGCATGCTGGCAAGCGCAGTGGCCTGGCAGGACCAACTGGGCAGCAACGAGTGGCAGATGGTGGCCAGCTCCCCAAAACATGATGCTTAACTGGCTGAGGCCACTCCCATCCCGATGGGGAGGGGACAAATCTAGGCTGAAGCCCTCATTTCCCCCTGCTCGTCTGCCGACCCAGTGGCCGAGGTGCCTGCAGCTTTCTGAGGGTCCCAGGAAGGGGGGTAGGGGGCGAGAGGAGGGGGAGCAGGTAGAGGGGAGGGGCAGGGGGTGGCTGTTTCACAGGCGGAGTGTGTGCAGCTGGCAGAGGAAGGAAGCCAGGCCCTGCCCTTGCAGGTGGTCCTCGTGCCTGGGCCACAGGTGGGGAGCAGCAGGCTCCAGCCGCTGCCTTGTGCCTGGAGGGTCAGACCCCGGTGACCCACACTGTGCCTGTGAGGGGTCCAGCCCAGGGCACAGCTGGGGGGTGCAGCACCCCTGGCTAAGGCCCCTCCTCCGCGGGCGTCAGCCACACCAGGAGCCGGGTGTGGCAGCTGGCTCTCCGCCTGGCACCCTGTGCATGGAAGCAGCCCCGCAGCCCTGGCCAGGCGCCCCATGGCAGCAGCCGCCCCCCCCTTCCCCCCAGCCCCAGAACAGCCCGAGCTCCAGCTGCAGGCTTTGAAAGTGGCACCAGGTGCCCAGCCCCAAGCTCAGCCTCCCCACTTAGGCTTCCCCTTGAAGGACCCCGGGGCCTTCACAGTCCACGCGTGGGAAGTGGGAGCCAGAGAGGAGCTTTAATAGCTGACACTATTGCTTCTGCTGACCAAGTGTCTAACATATTGCAAAACAGAACCAGGAGAGAGGTAGAGCTGTCGGGAATTGGAAATCCTGCCTCTTGTCCACCCTCTCTCAGAACGGAGGCCGGGCAGAGCCCCCTTCAGCATGGCTCGCACCCGGGCCACCACCCTGCCCCACGGACCCTGGGCGGCGGTGGGTGGGGGTGGCTGTCCCGCAAGGGGCTCCATGGAGAGCTGGTGGTTGGTCCACACGAGAGGCTCAGGGCAGCAGTGACGTGCGGTGTGTGGAATGGAGTGTGGGGCCTGGGCAGAAACCGGGGGAGTGGGGTTGGGGCGTGGGGAGGTGAGGGTGGGGAGCTGCCAGGAGCTGGGGCCCAGCGCCCCCTTCCGGGCCCTGAGCCGGGACCCTGCGTTGGGAGGAGTGGGTGCTGCCACGGGGAGCTGCTGCGTCTGGCCGAGCCGTGGGTCTGGGCTGGGAGCCGCTCAGTGCCCTCTGCCTCCGTCAGGTCGCCTTCTCCTTCCCGCCTTCCTCCTTCAGGTTCTCGGCCACCAGCTTCATTTGCTGTGGAGAGAACACAGGGTGAGCCTCGCCAGCCCGGGGGGTGGCACCTGGATGGTGGCAGGGTCCCACCTTTTGCGGGAGGCCCTGGGCAACGTGTTCCTAAGCCGTCAAGGCACCCCGAGACGCTGTGACCCCCTGAGGCTGCCCGAGGCTTCCTCTAAGGGCCTGGACCGGACGAGATGGGCGCAGGGAGTGGGTGGAAACGTGTGAGGCAGGCAGGCCGACGGGATTGCAAAGACGCTGACAGGAGAAGCAGCTGGGCGACCTGCTTCCTGGGCCCGGGGTCAGGGGCGGCTTAGAAGCCACAGTGATCAGCTGTGTGTTGGGACAAACCACTCAGCCCCTCCCTCCATGGCTGGGTCCCTCAGGGCTGGGTCGGTGACCCAATCCCCAAAGGGAATGTCGCCTGGGCCTTCGCCAGGCTGCGGGAGGGCCTGGGGCTTGTACCTCTGCGTCTCTTTTAAAACAAACCTGGCTTCTTTGGGATTCTTTAATTAAAACCTTATGAAACATAGCAGGATAGCGGTGCTCACTTCTTTCCTACAAAAAGCATCAGGTGGAGAATAAAATCCTCCCCAACTCATGACTCATTAAACACTCGGGTTCCCAATCACTCTCTAAGCAGCGCCGGCCGAGTTTTCGCGTCGCTGTCAGTAATGGTTATCACAGGAGCCTCGTCACTAAGTGTTGGCCAAAGCGCAGCTGAACCTGAGCGCGTGCATAGGTACCACGCCCGCTCCCCGTGGAGGAGCGGCGAGATGGTTTGAGAGCCGGGATGCTTTTCCAGGCCTGAGCAGCCCTCCCCTCCCAGGCCTGAGGCAGACCCTCCCTGGCCAGCTGGCCGGGCCACAGTCAGCACGGAATCCCCCACGCACAGCACTCAAGAGATCACGACCCATCACTGCCATTATTACCCAATTTGAAACCTGTCAGCAGCTACTCCACCACCTCCCCCCCAGAGCAACCGCCACACACAGAGGGCCTCCACCTGTGCCTTCCTCTCCCGCTCACCCGGCCTCTGCCGCTGGCTCTCTCAGGGGCTGCTGGCCGCTGGAGCCTGGCCGTCCTGGGGCAGCAGCTCAAACAGAAACTGGCTTCTCTGGCCAGTTCAGCTTCAGCATCAATGCCTGGAGCCTGCCCCCTGCACCCCCCTTCCCCCCGGCATCCCCCTTACTAGTCTCAGGTGCCAGACCTGCCTGTGACAAGTGACAGAGGGTGGCAATCCCCAGTCCCTACATCTCCAGCTCCCTCCACTGGGATTTAAGGGGTGTGGCCTGGGCACCAGCGTTTTTTTTTTGTTTGTTTTTTTTTTTTTTTTTTTTTTTTTTTTTTTTTTTTTAATATATTTTATTGATTTTGTACAGAGAGGAAGGGAGAGAGATACAGAGTTAGAAACATCGATGAGAGAGAGTCATCGATCAGCTGCCTCTTGCACACCCCCTACTGGGGATATGCCCGCAACCAAGGTACATGCCCTTGACCGGAATCGAACCCGGGTCCCTTCAGTCCCCAAGCCGACGCTCTATCCATTGAGCCAAACCGGTCCCGGCTGTTTTTGTTTTTTTTTGCAAGCTCCTCCCAGCGAGTCTATCCCGAAGATCAGTGGTCAGCAAACTCATTAGTCAACAGAGCTGCAGTTTGCTGACCACTGCTGTAGGTGGATGGACCCGGCCTGAAAGGCAGCCCCCTCTCCTGCTCTGCCCAGAGGAGGGGGCCGAGAAGGATGGGAGCTGAGGCCCCCCCGCCACAGGACCGTGCCCTTGCCCCTGACAGGCACGAGCGAGGCCTCCTGTCTGTCCCTGCCAAGGCTAAGCACCGTGTCTGAGGTCATGCAGCAGAGTCAGGGCAGAATTAGGCGAGGGTCCCGCAATTCAGGTGAAAAGGGGGAGTGAAGAACAGGCCTTCGGAAGTGCCATGTCCTGACCAAGGCCTTCTATTGGTTAGATCTGGGGCAGGTTGGCCTCAAACGGAGGTATTCTGACATGGCCTAACATAAAGCCGCAAACGCCAGCTCTGCTGGGCCGGCGCTGCCAGCGGAGCAGCGGTGGAGGGCGGGAGGGCAGAGCATCCCTCGGCTGTCCTGGGAGACACAGCCACTGTTCGTGGTGGTTCATGTTGATGTTTTGACAAAACGTGAAAACTTGCTGACAACCGAACGTGCTGGTGCTCTGAAGCCCACCCCCAGCCCTGCGTCCCCGTCTCAGGGGCCTCTCCACCTGGCTGCAGACCGGAACCTCAGAGGTCACCGTGGGCTCCGCGCCCAGTCTGCCCTGGGCCCTGTGGACACCTGCCAGGCACACCCGCCTCCTCACCCCCAGCCCCACCTTAGAGCTGTCGCCTCCGTTACCCTGACCCCCCTCCCAGACTCTGCCCCGCGTGGCCAAAAGCAGCTTAAACCACGTTGTAACACAGGACCAGACGTGCCACAACACGGGCTGCCACGGGCTCTGGACTGAAGCAGCATCACCTGTCACCCCACACCCCTCTATTTTAATCCCTGCGCTCCATTCGTACTATCTGGGTTTTTTGTTGTTGTTGTTAAACCTCATCTGAGGATATCCCTCCCCCCCTTTTTTTTTAGAGAGAGAGAGAGTGGAAGCAAAGGGGACAGAGAAAAACATAGATGAGAGAGAGAGAGAGTGACACATCAATTGACTGCCTCCCGCACCTGCAGGATATCAAGCCTGCAGGGGAGGTAAGTGCCCTTCAGTCCACAGGCCGACGCGCTATCCACTGAGCTCAAGCGGCCAGGGCACTAGGCTTTATTTTTCCTGCTGTAAATGCCCTGGCCCACCTGGCGTGCAGGTAACCGCCTCGTGCAGGTGCTACACCCGTGAGCACGGGCATCTCCCTCGGGAGAGCAGGCGCCTCCCGAAGCTCTGACGACAGGGGCGCGGGCTCTATAAATACTGTGGAGGCGGGACCACCGAGCTTCGGGCCTATGGCAGCGCCCACAGAGGCCTGACTGGGCGTGGTCTGAGCCTGGTAGGATGGGCGGGTGTGGCCTCCTTTCTTGTGTGTGTAAATGGACACACCCATGTTCTCACAGTCTCCGGACCGCACATTCGTCTATCACATGTATGGGGTCACAGAAACACACCGGAGCGTGCACTTTATGTCTGAAGGTCCGGGGTTTCGTTACCTGCCCTGGCAACTACGCAGACCTGGCCCCAGCACCCTCCCCTCCCCCCTTCCCCTGCAGGACTCTCACTCAGAGGGGACCTAGGGCCTCAGGGGTGGCTCTGGGGAGGGGGAGGATGTCTGCAGTGACAGCTGGTGGAGGAGGAGGAGGAGAGAGAGAGAGGAGGAAACTCAGGGGCCATCAGGAAGGTGGTCCCAGTATCAGCTTGGAACCAGCTGCAAACCATGGCTCCTCCAGGAAGGCGGAGACCCGGCTGCAGGGCGGGGCGGGCGGCTCCTGCGGCCGGTGTGATGCCGGTGCTCGCGTCCAGCCCCTGCACCAGGTCGTTACCGGCGCAAACTGGCCCCGAGGAGGACGACGTCGGCTCAGCTTCCAAGAAAACGTTTTCATGCCGACGTCGGTGAGCTTCCGAGCCCTGCGTGCTCTGCGGATCTGGGTTGCAGAGCACAATTTTCAAAAGGAGGAGTGTGCCTTCGCAGGTGCTTTTGAGCATGCAAACCGCTCACTCAAGAGAGAGGGGCCCGTGGAAGCCCAAGATCTCGCTTTCCAGCCGATTCTAGTGCCTCTGGGGCAGGGAGCCGGTGCCACTGATTGGCTACAGCCGGCTGTTAATTATTACTGCCAGCCAAAGCCACAGGCCTGGGGTTTACAGGTGGCTGGACATGCTGAACCCCGAATGCTAACAGAAAAAAGACAAAGCAAAGCTGACGAGAGAGGGAGCCGCCCCGCTGGGTCTGGGAAACATCGTGAGGTGCCCACAGCCTCACCGGAGCTGCTCGTCACCTCTGTCCCACACCCATCAGGGGGTGCTGGCGTTTTCTGGAAGCGACGGCACCTACATGCGGTCCTGTCCATCTACCCAAACACACGTGAGATCCCTGAGCAACCAACGTGGCAGGCCCTTCCCGGGCAGCCCCGGTTGCAGCAGGGGAGGGACACACGCCATCGACAGTGCCCACAGGAGGTGAGGCTCCGGGCTCCACATGTGATCCTCTGCGCCTACTTTGTGGGACTCTTGCTACTTTCCTCCTCGCTTGCTCATGCCCTGAATTTCTAATGGTCCTTGTACATCGCAACCTTTTTCCTCCTGCTTTGTTGACGTAACTTTTCGTGTCTATTATATTTTATTATCTCCCTGTTACTTACATTCACAGTGGCCAATAGCTAGATCACTCACATGCCAAGCACTGTTCTAATGACACATGCCAAGCACTGTTCTAATGACACATCCTTTGCTCACATTCACCCTGTGAGAGACATGCCATTACCATTTTAAAGGCTAGAGATGCGAGGCACAGAGAGGTTGAGAAACCTGCCCGAGGTCACACAGCTCATAGAAGGTTCGAGTACAGGCTATCAGTCTCCAGCACCTAAGTGGCTAGCCTGCAGTCTGCCCAGCCCCTGCCTGAGGTGCGTCCAGGTGCTGTCCTGGGTGTGTTCTGTCATCACAGCACCCAGCTATGCACGGGCCACCTGTGCTTTGATATTCCGGTTCCCGCTCAGCGGGACCACCCTGCCATCCTGCCAGGGTTTGCCGGGACTTTTTGGATTCTTGGTGAGGCTTCGATTTTGTCCTGTCCCACCCAGCTCAGATTTGTGTGTTTCCCCTACATCTCTAAGTTAAGGGATGAACACATCACACTAACCCCTAACCTGCCATGAAAGCACAAATTTCAGCAAGATTTTAAAATTCCAGGATGTTTAGGAGTTAATTTTAGAAAAGAAATCACGTTTGCCCAAGCTGGTTTGGCTCAGTGGATAGAGCACGGGCCTGTGGACTGAAAAGTCCCAGGTTCGATTCCAGTCAAGGGCACACGCCTGGGTTGCGGTTTTGATCCCCAGTGTGGGGGCGTGCAGA